CGCCCACGAAGGAGAGTGACGGCTCTATACCGGTGAAATCGCCCTAAATTAATTTAAGCGTGTTTTGACCAAGCGAAACACGGCTATGAAGCGACCACGTCCACGAAGGAGAGTGACGGCTCTATACCGGTGAAATCGCCCTAAATTAATTTAAGCGTGTTTTGACCAAGCGAAACACGGATATGAAGCGACCACGCCCACGAAGGAGAGTGACGGCTCTATACCGGTGAAATCACCTCAAATTAGTTTAGGCGTGTTTTGACCAAGCGAAACACGGCTATGAAGCGGTCACGCCCACGAAGGAGGGTGACGGCTCTATACCGGTGAAATCGCCCTAAATTAATTTAAGCATGTTTCGACCAAGCGAAACACGGATATGAAGCGGCCACGCCCACGAAGGAGAGTGACGGCTCTATACCGGTGAAATCGCCCTACATTAATTTTAGCATGTTTCGACCAAGCGAAACACGGATATGAAGCGACCACGCCCACGAAGGAGAGTGACGACTCTATACCGGTGAAATCGCCCGTAAGTTAATTTTAAGCGTGTTTTGACCAAGCGAAACACGGATATGAAGCGGCCACGCCCACGAAGGAGAGTGACGGCTCTATACCGGTGAAATCACCTCAAATTAGTGTAGGCGTGTTTTGACCAAGCGAAACACGGCTATGAAGCGCTCACACCCACGAAGGAGGGTGACGGCTCTATACCGGTGAAATCGCCCTAAATTAATTTAAGCATGTTTCGACCAAGCGAAACACGGATATGAAGCGGCCACGCCCACGAAGGAGAGTGACGGCTCTATACCGGTGAAATCGCCCTAAATTAATTTAAGCATGTTTCGACCAAGCGAAACACGGATATGAAGCGGCCACGCCCACGAAGGAGGGGGACGCTCTATACCGGTGAAATCGCCCTAAGTTAATTTTAAGTGTGTTTTGACCAAGCGAAACACGGATATAAAGCGGCCACGTCCACGAAGGAGAGTGACGGCTCTATACCGGTGAAATCGCCCTAAATTAATTTAAGCGTGTTTTGACCAAGCGAAACACGGCTATGAAGCGGTCACGCCCACGAGGGAGGGTGACGGCTCTATACCGGTGAAATCGCCCTAAGTTAATTTTAAGGGTGTTTTGACCAAGCGAAGCATGGATATAAAGCGGCCACGCCCACGAAGGAGAGTGACGGCTCTATACCGATGAAATCGCCCTAAATTAATTTAAGCGTGTTTTGACCAAGCGAAACACGGATATGAAGCGACCACGCCCACGAAGGAGAGTGACGGCTCTATACCGGTGAAATCGCCCTAAATTAATTTTAAGCGGTTTTTGACCAAGCCAAACACAGATATAAAGCGGCCACGCCCACGAAGGAGAGTGACGGCTCTATACCGGTGAAATCGCCCTAAATTAATTTAAGCGTGTTTTGACCAAGCGAAACACGGATATGAAGCGGCCACGCCCACGAAGGAGAGTGACGGCTCTATACCGGTGAAATCGCCCTAAGTTAATTTTAAGCGTGTTTTGACCAAGGAAACACAGATATGAAGCGGCCACGCCCACGAAGGAGAGTGACGGCTCTATACCGGTGAAATCGCCCTAAATTAATTTAAGCGTGTTTTGACCAAGCGAAACACGGATATGAAGCGACCACGCCCACGAAGGAGAGTGACGGGTCTATACCGGTGAAATCGCCCTAAGTTAATTTTAAGTGTGTTTTGACCAAGCGAAACACGGATATAAAGCGGCCACGCCCACGAAGGAGAGTGACGGCTCTATACCGGTGAAATCGCCCTAAGTTAATTTTAAGCGTGTTTTGACCAAGCGAAACACAGATATGAAGCGGCCACGCCCACGAAGGAGAGTGACGGCTCTATACCGGTGAAATCGCCCTAAGTTAATTTTAAGCGTGTTTTGACCAAGCGAAACACAGATATGAAGCGGCCACGCCCACGAAGGAGAGTGACGGCTCTATACCGGTGAAATCGCCCTAAGTTAATTTTAAGTGTGTTTTGACCAAGCGAAACACGGATATAAAGCGGCCACGCCCACGAAGGAGAGTGACGGCTCTATACCGGTGAAATCGCCCTAAATTAATTTAAGCGTGTTTTGACCAAGCGAAACACGGATATGAAGCGACCACGCCCACGAAGGAGAGTGACGGCTCTATACCGGTGAAATCGCCCTAAGTTAATTTTAAGCGTGTTTTGACCAAGCGAAACACGGATATGAAGCGACCACGCCCACGAAGGAGAGTGACGGGTCTATACCGGTGAAATCGCCCTAAGTTAATTTTAAGTGTGTTTTGACCAAGCGAAACACGGATATAAAGCGGCCACGCCCACGAAGGAGAGTGACGGCTCTATACCGGTGAAATCACCCTAAGTTAATTTTAAGCGTGTTTTAACCAAGCGAAACACAGATATGAAGCGGTCACGCCCACAAAGGAGAGTGACGGCTCTATACCGGTGAAATCGCCCTAAATTAATTTAAGCATGTTTCGACCAAGCGAAACACGGATATGAAGCGGCCACGCCCACGAAGGAGAGTGACGGCTCTATACCGGTGAAATCGCCCTAAATTAATTTAAGCGTGTTTTGACCAAGCGAAACACGGATATGAAGCGGCCATGCCCACGAAGGAGAGTGACGACTCTATACCGGTGAAATCGCCCTAAGTTAATTTTAAGCGTGTTTTGACCAAGCGAAACACGGATATGAAGCGGCCACGCCCACGAAGGAGAGTGACGGCTCTATACCGGTGAAATCGCCCTAAGTTAATTTTAAGCATGTTTCGACCAAGCGAAACACAGATATGAAGCGGCCACGCCCACGAAGGAGAGTGACGACTCTATACCGGTGAAATCGCCCTAAATTAATTTAAGCGTGTTTTGACCAAGCGAAACACGGCTATGAAGCGGTCACGCCCACGAAGGAGGGTGACGGCTCTATACCGGTGAAATCGCCCTAAGTTAATTTTAAGTGTGTTTTGACCAAGCGAAACACGGATATAAAGCGGCCACGCCCACGAAGGAGAGTGACGGCTCTATACCGGTGAAATCGCCCTAAATTAATTTAAGCGTGTTTTGACCAAGCGAAACACGGATATGAAGCGACCACGCCAACGAAGGAGAGTGACGGCTCTATACCGGTGAAATCTCCCTAAGTTAATTTTAAGCGTGTTTTGACCAAGCGAAACACAGATATGAAGCGGCCACGCCCTCGAAGGAGAGTGACGGCTCTATACCGGTGAAATCGCCCTAAATTAATTTAAGCATGTTTCGACCAAGCGAAACACGGATATGAAGCAGCCACGCCCACGAAAGAGAGTGACGGCTCTATACCAGTGAAATCGCCCTAAATTAATTTAAGCGTGTTTTGACCAAGCGAAACACGGCTATGAAGCGACCACGCCCACGAAGGAGAGTGACGGCTCTATACCGGTGAAATCGCCCTAAGTTAATTTTAAGCGTGTTTTGACCAAGCGAAACACAGATATGAAGCGGCCACGCCTACGAAGTAGAGTGACGGCTCTATACCGGTGAAATCGCTCTAAATTAATTTAAGCATTTTTCGACCAAGCGAAACACATATATGAAGCGGCCACGCCCACGAAGGAGAGTGACGGCTCTATACCGGTGAAATCGCCCTAAATTAATTTAAGCGTGTTTTGACCAAGCGAAACACGGCTATGAAGCGGTCACGCCCACGAATGAGAGTGACGGCTCTATACCGGTGAAATCACCTCAAATTAGTGTAGCCGTGTTTTGACCAAGCGAAACACGGCTATGAAGCGGTCACGCCCACGAAGGAGGGTGACGGCTCTATACCGGTGAAATCGCCCTAAATTAATTTAAGCGTGTTTTGACCAAGCGAAACACGGATATGAAGCGACCACGCCCACGAAGGAGGGTGACGGCTCTATACCGGTGAAATCGCCCTAAGTTAATTTAAGCGTGTTTTGACCAAGCGAAACACGGATATGAAGCGACCACGCCCACGAAGGAGAGTGACGGCTCTATACCGGTGAAATCACCCTAAGTTAATTTTAAGCGTGTTTTAACCAAGCGAAACACAGATATGAAGCGGCCACGCCCACGAAGGAGAGTGACGGCTCTATACCGGTGAAATCACCTCAAATTAGTGTAGCCGTGTTTTGACCAAGCGAAACACGGCTATGAAGCGGTCACGCCCACGAAGGAGGGTGACGGCTCTATACCGGTGAAATCGCCCTAAATTAATTTAAGCATGTTTCGACCAAGCGAAACACGGATATGAAGCGACCACGCCCACGAAGGAGAGTGACGGCTCTATACCGGTGAAATCACCTCAAATTAGTGTAGCCGTGTTTTGACCAAGCGTGTTTTGACCAAGCGAAACACATATATGAAGCGGCCACGCCCACGAAGGAGAGTGACGGCTCTATACCGGTGAAATCGCCCTAAATTAATTTAAGCGTGTTTCGACCAAGCGAAACACGTATATGAAGCGGCCACGCCCACGAAGGAGAGTGACGGCTCTATACCGGTGAAATCGCCCTAAATTAATTTAAGCGTGTTTCGACCAAGCGAAACACGTATATGAAGCGGCCACGCCCACGAAGGAGAGTGACGGCTCTATACCGGTGAAATCGCCCTAAATTAATTTAAGCGTGTTTCGACCAAGCGAAACACGTATATGAAGCGGCCACGCCCACGAAGGAGAGTGACGGCTCTATACCGGTGAAATCGTCCTAAGTTAATTTTAAGTGTGTTTTGACCAAGCGAAACACGGCTATGAAACGGCCACGCCCACGAAGGAGAGTGGCGGCTCTATACCGGTGAAATCACCTCAAATTAGTGTAGGCGTGCTTCGACCAAGCGAAACACGACTATGAAGCGGCCACACTCACGAAGGAGGGTGACGGCTCTTCCCAATTGCCTCACCAAGGAGAACAAAGCAGGGATGCAAGATGCAATGTTAATATCAAAGTCATAAATAAGAGAAATGACAACGTTATACCGGTGCAATTGAAAGGTTCGGGCTCAGGTGACTGGGTAGCAGAACGACCCCTCGCGGTACGAGACTTCTTCGTCGACATAGCTAATCTGCAATGAGAACCAACAATTCAATCATTCAAAGAAATTGTGAAGTATAATGTTAAAAAGAGAAATTGTGAATCTTCGATTGAAATTCTACAACATAGAATTTTCTAGTTGAAGGTCCGATTAAACCTATACGACATCCCCCATTCAAGTTGAAACGAGAAGAAAATGAGTTTGGTTTTAAGGCATACACGAGTTCAATTACATATGAATTCGACAATACAAGAGCATTGGCTATATACAAGTTCGAGTTCAATCATATACAAGAATTCAGACTAACATCAACTTGGATTCGGCTATGTACAGGTTCAAAGTTTTCAACCAACACTCCAGCCCTAACATCAACTTGGATTCGGCTAATTACAAATGAGTTTTGTTTTAAGGCATACACGAGTTCAATTACATATGAATTCGACAATACAAGAGCATTGGCTATATACAAGTTCGAGTTCAATCATATACAAGAATTCAGACTAACATCAACTTGGATTCGGCTATGTACAGGTTCAAAGTTTTCAACCAACACTCCAGCCCTATTTTTACACATAAGGCCTTCAAATTTCAGCCATATTTCTACACAAAAACCCCTCAAAGTTCAGTTCATCTTTTTGCACATGAACCCCTCAAAGTTCAGTCCATCTTTTTGCACATAAACCCCTTAAAGTTCAGTCCATCTCTTTGCACATAAACCTCTCAAAGTTCAGTCCATCTTTTTACACAAAAGCCCCCTCAAAATTCAGTCCCAAATTTACACATAAACCCCCAAAACTTCAGCCCCTAATTCGGCCAAAAAACCCCTCAAATTTCATCAAATTTTGCACACGATCTACCCCTCAAATTTCGGCCATATATGTATGCATGAAATTAGGAAAATGTTGCAATCAAAAGTGAGGGAATTCATGTCTCTAATTTCGGCCAACCCCTCAAGAGCAAAAAAAAAATCAAAATTTGATTTTTTTCCCCCAAATCAATAAACTAGGGTTTTGGATTTTGGAGGATTCAAGAGAAAAGAACCAAATTAAAAGCCATGAAAAAGAAGGATTCTTACCAAAGTTTGAAGAATCTTTGAAGAGGAAACTTTGTTGTCAATGAAGATCAAAATCCTCCTCCTTGCCTCGCTTGAAAACCTTGGAGAGGAAGAAGGTTTGGAAAGAAGGGGTTGAAGGCCTTGAAGAAGATGAGTTTAAAAGCCTTAGAACTCTTGGTGAAGAAGAACTCTTGGGGAAAGAAAAGCTCAAAACCGAAAAATAGGGGGGAAGGCGGAACTTGGCTGCTGGAACCGAAGAAAGAAGAGAAAAAAGAGAAGAGGGGAGATCGGGTTTTGTATTTGGGGGAATTATAAGTGAACCGGACCCAAGTGAACCGAACCCATATGAACCGGACCGGTCCAGACCAGACCAGTCTGAACCGAACCAGTTTAAATCACGCCCAAATCACAAGTGCCTTTTGATGGTTCACATGCGTACGAGGCGCGGAATGTTGGCTCGAACGTATAGAAAGATTCGGGAACAATTTGTATACACTTTGAACCTCTTTTCGGGTATTTTTGGGTGTATTCGACGCTTGTATTCATACTCCAATGGAAATACGAGTCTAAACTGTTTCTTACTTTTGACGGGAAGTTCCTGGAAAATATTACGCGTAATATTCTTAAGGATAACCCGGCAACCTCCAACGGGTACACGAGGTTAAACGGATTCCCGAAACTCCCAGGAGTACACGAGTATAAACTAATTCTACCCACGTTAACGCGAAACCCTAAGGTCAACGCCGGTCAACGCGTTGCGATGAGAGTCAACGCCGATCGATTCGAAACCCTAAGGTCAACGCCGGTCAACGCGCAGCCCTAGGTCAACGCCGGTCAACGCGTTGCGATGAGAGTCAACGCCGATCGATTCGAAACCCTAAGGTCAACGCCGGTCAACGTGCAGCCCTAGGTCAACGCCGGTCAACGCGTTGCGATACAGATACTTAATCCAAAAGTCAACTCAGCGAGACGAGCCAAAATCAACTCACCAATTCCAATTCGAGACTTCGGCAACGGTCAGACGATAAACGCAGCACCGGAAAAATTTTAACTGTTCGATAAAACACTAAACAGACTGAAATGTGAAGAAGTCAAGAACTGAAATCGGTTATAGGTCCTTTAATACCGACTGAAGGTGTAGGCCTATCACGTCCAAAGTATTTCAGACTCCTCTTTAAAGGAATGAGGCTGAAACACTTTGGAGGGGGTATCTGTAGACGTCCAAAAATGCCTATAAGCTCCTGTATACGGCTCGAGACGAAGAGGAGGCAATAAATGTCATAGGCCGAGCCACCATTTGATGGTTTGGCAAGGCCGAGCCACCATTTGGTGGTTTGACCAAGGCCGAGCCATCATTTGGTGGTTTGACCTAGGCCGAGCCACCATTTGATGGTTTGGCAAGGCCGAGCCACCATTTGGTGGTTTGACCAAGGCCGAGCCATCATTTGGTGGTTTGACCTAGGCCGAGCCACCATTTGATGGTTTGGCAAGGCCGAGCCACCATTTGGTGGTTTGGCAAGGCCGAGCCACCATTTGGTGGTTCGGCCAAGGCCGAGCCACTTCGGTGGATCGGCCAAAATCGATTTGTTCGGTTCTTTTATGGATTCTTTCGGGATTTTGGGTTCCAACTGCTCTGATATTGTTGTTAGACAGTTGCTAACTGAAGATAGAGGGAATCTCTCGTTTTGATCCAAGAAAACCACTAACCAAGCCTATAAATAGGGGCTCGGGTGTTCATTTTTTTAGGATTTGGAAATCAAGAGGACGAAGTGCTGTCAAATTGGAGATTGGAGCACGAATTTCAGAGAGTTAGCAGATCTTGGCGGAGTTCTTCAACAAAGCAAGAGTTCGAGAGATCTGAGACTCATTCCACCCTCCTCCTGATTTAAGCTTAGTCTTAAATCCCGAGAAGAGCCGTGATTTTGCTTAGTCAAAATCGCCGCTACTGCAATCACTTCCTTCGTGAAGCGAAAGCACTGATTATCCAAACTTCTGCTCACCGGATCTGATCCGTATGCGGTCCACGGATAAACCCCGGCACCGGCAACGATCCCGCACAAGCAATAGGCGATAAACATCTATTGTGTGTAGTTTGAGAGAAAATTGTAACTTTTGATTTAAAGTCTTATAAAAAGGCTATTTTTTTGTTTGAGTTTATTGTAAGTGTTTGAAGCTGTAATGGACTCATCAATGAAATCAATTTTTCACCCAAACAATTGCCTATAGGTCTCCATGAACAGCTCGAAGCTAAGAGAAGACGATGAACATCACTATCCAAGTCACGGAAGCTTGATTGACGTCAACGAACGCTTGAAGTGAATCGACGAACTACGTGAAGCAACGGAGTTTCAGAATAACGAGGATACGAACTGACCGGGAGCCTCATGTCGCTTACGAAAGGCGAAACTCCCTTCATATCTCATTTATTCTACAAATGACCCAATTATGGGAGCATGTAGATCTCCTCGTCGGCTTTCCAACGTACTTTGAATCACTCAAATCCGAGTTCAGATGAAGAAGTTACGGCGGAAATGGACAAGCACGCAAAACAGACTGTCTCAGCCTAAGCTAAGACACCCCAAGGTGTCTCGGCCAAAGCTGAGACACCCTAAGGTGTCTCGGCCTCGTTGAGACACCCAAGGGTGTCTTAGACCCTAAAATTGGGATTTTTAGCTGTAATGTGGTTTTAACCGTCTGGATTCCCCGGAGCCTATAAATACAGCCCCGGGACCTTTATTTTTTCAGATCTGGAATTCTCGAGCGTTGGCGAAGCCCTGCCGGATTAAAGATCAAAAGTGCACGAATTTTAGAGAGGAGGAGGAGTAGAGATCTGATCGACTTCGTCGGTATAAAGAAGAGGAGCTCGTCAGATCTGCAGTTCACCGGGTCCGTTCCTTAAGATTATCCCGTTGCGATAATCTTAAGAAGAGCAATTATCTCGTCGTTGCCGAGATAAGCGCTACGGTTTCTTGATTCCTTCGCGAATCAACGAAGCTCTGCCCGATTTTTCAGTAATCAGATCTGATCGACGGTGGTCCACGGATATCAACATCCCCGTCATAGGCCAAGATCCCACGTAAGCAGAAGACCGATAAACGATCTCTGCGTTGTTTGAAGAGAATTGTACTTTTGTTTTGTTTTCATTGTGTAAAAGTCTTATAAAAAGACTAATTTTTGTTTTCGTTGTAAACGTCTGAAGTTTGTAATGAATCCCGCAATGAAACAATCAATTTTCTACGCAAACAATCATATGTGCCCACAAATTAAATTTAATTAGATTTAAATCCAACATATTCTTTTATTGTTAGAGGAAAAACAAAGCATAGGAGAGAAAGCCAATACTCTTGAAATCTAAGGTTAGCAGAGAGCGTAGCCCAATTTAAGAATATTGTACGAGAGGTGAGGGTTTCGTAGTCTTTGTCCATGCAAAAGATTACATCATTGGGAGAGGGTTTCGCAGTCTTTGTCCGTGCAAAAGAATATAAGGAGATGATTTTGGAGATAATATGAGAGTTAATTATGTACGTGAGGTTAAGAGATTGAGAGACAAGAGTTGAGTGGTTCCTCTTGTAGTTCTCCCTGATACATAGTGGATTTCTCGTATTGTTGCCCCGTGGACGTAGGTCGAAGTTGGTCGACCAAACCACGTAAATCTCGGTGTTCTTTCCTCTTGATTGTGGTAGTTTTATATCTTGTTAATTGTGGGTTGGCTTCCAAGTTGCGCAAATCATAGTAGGCGGGGAGACTAAAATTCCCCAACAACTACATATATAGCTTTGAAGGCTAAACACACAACGAGTTAGTCTCCTTTTATGGATAAATACCATGGTTACCAGCACCAAGGAATGGACCAAAAAAAGGGATTCAGATCCTCTCCACTATCTAAAAAGTAGTAGAGAGACCACTACATAATCACAACAATTGATTATCTACTTGATGGTTGTGATTTTTTCTTTGAGTGCAAATTAGGAATAAGTGCAATACACGGGGGTATGGTGAGTATTAAATTTAGATTGTATCATAACAGCCTACTAAGTAATCAACGATTGAGATTAAAAATAGTGGTCTCTCCACTACTTTTTTGTAGTTGTGAGGATCCAAATCCAAAAAAAAAAAGAACATGGATATCCACCAATATGTCCGTTTACATACCTAGCGGGATGTGATTATGGATATTATATATTTATATTGGACGGATATATATTCATATAAACATACAAATACATTTATCATTTTATATTGGTCGAATTTTGCCAAACCACTGAATGAGAAGGGTTTTGTATGAAACTACCGTCAACTATGAAAATCAGAGGAAACACCCCTTACCTCGTCTCATAATACTCCCTGATAACACCATGAACTCCAATGAGTCATGATCCAAAATAGACAAAACTTCCCTAACACCCAAATTATATCCTCTCCCTGTCCTCAATGATTTGCACATCACAGACGTAAATTATCACAAATAAAAACCAACTTGACCAATTTCATATTTTGTTTAAAGCCACCCAATAAAACAGAAAATCAACTTTTGTATATAATGTAGCTTGCTATTAAAGTGTCAATTGACTCGAATTAAAATATCATCCAGTGAACATCAACATGGCAATGACTGAGTTACATTTTAGATCAAAAAATCATTCATGTTTCCAGTTTAATATTACATCCTCAGCTCAAACCATACCTTCTCCATTTCCCCTCAGCCTACAATCCCAAATTTGTACGGTCGGGCTGCATGAATCCTATTCATCCACTCTGTTCTATTTTGGATCATCTCCTCTGTTAAGTAACTATTACCGCGTTGTTTTTGGTTGTTTCTGTTGTGCGCAGCAGAAATTTCGACAAAGTTTCTGGTGCACAATAAGAGAGAAAGATCAATAAGAATTCCCGTCTCACCAAGGAAACAAGAATCTGAAGCGAATATCTCAACAAAGTGAGATATTGGCTCTTCCTCTCATCGGTTCTAGGACTGACTTGTCGAGGGATCCTAAAAACTATTATAATAGCCACAAACACAAACAAACCAATTTTACGTGGTTCGGCAAACTGCCTACGTCCACGGGGCAAGGAGGGGGAGATCTACTATTAGAGAGGAAATAATACAACTATGGTTTACAATCACTCAATCTAAACCCTCACACAATTATCTCTCTCAAAAGCACAAAAGGACTCTCTGCACGCCGCCCAAAAAGAACGCTGCCAACACTTTTGCACCCGCCACGAATTTTCCCCCTGCTCTGCTTCGCA